GGAGACAGAGCCCCAAGGCGACAGAGCTGGTGAGACCCACTTTGGCAGATTGGTATTCGGAAATCATCTTAAGCCATCAGCATTTTGACTTGGACTGAAGCTTAGTGGCCGAAGTCTCTTAACTGAGTGACAAATAGAGAATACAAGCAAATTGAACGAAGAACATCCTTTGTGGTTGTTGGAGAGACTACGGTAATAGGTCCAAGGCCCTCGTGTATAACTGCCAGTGTACCTCTCGCAGCATTCAAAATCGTCAGGATCGAAGTACGAGGGAAAATACCGTAGTCTAATTACATCTTAAAAATACCTTGGACACTGTTATGTGTTGTCACGTCGGTATATCACGAGTGTACATAAATGAATTCATGTATTTCATATCACATTTCTGAAATTTCTTGATAAGACATTTATGTAGGTGTACCAATAGGGTATTAATAAAATTGGTCATATATACCATGTACATGTTGGAACGAAAACAATGGAAAACAGAGACAAATATTGAGGAAAATTATGATTTTGCTTGTCAGCAATTCAATTATGAATGACATTAAGTTGTACCGATATATGCACATTGAATTGTGTGTAACCGTTGAAACTACACCGAAGCAACATACTAACCGTTATTCAGTTCTTATCGGGATACCCAGCCGACAAATCAAGTTTAATCCAAATCCAGAGACACTCAACGACATGACTACCGAGACATTTCGTGGTAGAAAGGCCGACAAACAGGTAGTAAATAATTTGATAACTAGGCGTATAAATTACTCAGCTTCCAATATAGGATTTACTTTGAATTCCGTTAATCTCATTCACGACGCACTGTTTCTTAACAACCAGTTCAACAACTTTCACTCCGATATGAACTTGCACATGTGAACCACATGCACAGTTATAAACACAATAGGTGCGGTTGAGTAGCCTAGTTAAGAAAGCACTGAATCTTCGCGCCGAAGGCCTGGTTCTATTTCCAAAATGGGTACAGTGAGTTCTATACTCGGTGTCACCAGGGCATGCTGTGCCTGGTATAGTGTTAAATAATGCCGTTAAACCCCCACCCCCCACCCCCACCTCCTGAACATAAAGTGCAATAATTAGGATACATAGCAACAGTTTGTATATAATCATCATTGAATAACAATAAAGAAGCAACGTCGTTGGAAATATTAGCGAAGATGCAGGCTGTCATAAATTGATTTGTTTAATGGCGAATATATAAGTGGAACAAGAAAGGTGTAATAATTGTTATTGTTTTACACTTTTTGTAATCTACGATTTGATGAAACACAGAATATCTGTAAGCAGATATAAATGTAGGTTACTTTCGGTATGTCTTTGTTTTACGAGAAATATAAAAGGCATCAAGCTATTCATTATTCATACATTACATGTGGCATTAAGTTTGTTAATGCTATTCTGAATACATAGCTTTCTTCTTTGCACTTTTTTTTATTCACATATATGTATATACATGTATGCTATTGCAGCCTTTTTGTTGTTGTTTTTTTCCGAAATAGACAGTTTCCGTTCTGGTGTTGGCTGTATGACTGACATTACAATGATACAGCAAGGCCATGGTAAAAATATGTAATATTTATCGATATGAATATAATTTTAGATCTCGTCAAGATAATAATACGCCAGTTCTCTTCTATGAGGACAATGCAGTATTAAATACCTGTCTCCTTAAATATTTTTGTGTGAATGTAAGGGTCCACAGTCGGTAACTTTTGATTGACAATGAGATGTGTGCTTCACGACAAAGTAATGTCAAATGATTTCTAACATAACATGTCTAAACTGCAATGAAAAATATCATGCCTACTGTATTGGCAGAGTAGAGGATTTACATTCAGACGCATCTACGCCAATCAGTATAAAGGGGATTTGGTTTGAGCCACACTGATGTCGCATGACTATAAGCACTGAAACGTGGACAGTATTTGAGATAATCGAAAGTAATTCATTTTCAGTTACAAGAAACTATACTATATTCCTGGTAAATGTAAAGCATCCCCGAAATAATGGTTTTAAAAGATCACCATTAATTTCAACTGTAATGGCAATAATTCTTAAGACAAGAACTCTTCTACTCTTCAAAAAAAGAAACGCAAAGCCAGATTTGTGTGAGGTAGGAAAATACATTTAAACGAGGAACCGTACTAGGTATTGAGCCAAAATGTTGTGGAGAGAACACTTGGTGAATGTAGTCATCTCAGTTATCGGTACATAGGAAAAGTCCAAGGTGAAGGTCAGCTACCATCAATAACGCGTATGTCCCCCGTTGGAATCGATAGCGGCCTGAAATCTCCTGCCCATTGAAAAGACGAGTATGCGAATCACATCCTGGGGAATGGTATCCCACTCGGCCTGCAACGCAAAAGCCAATTGCTGCAACGTCTGGGGTTGTGGTTGACATCGGCGTAGCCGTCCATCCAATTCATCCAAAAGGTGCTCTTTCTGGTTCAAATCCGGGGATCTGTAGGGCCAGGGGAGAACACCAACGTTGTTGTTGTGTATACAGGCTCTTGTGATCCGTGCTGCATGCGGTCGAGCGTTGTCCTGCTAGAATACACCGTTGCCTTTGGCTGCAATTGTGAGGAAGAGAATTTCGTTGATGTATCGCTGAGCCGTACGATTGCCCTGGGTATGGACCAAACCTGTTCTGCCATGAAGAGAGATATCCGCCCACATCATAACGCTACCCCCACCAAACCTGTCCACTTCCTGTAACGCAGTTTCCGGCGTAACGTTCTCCCCGACGTCTGTAGACCCGTGCTCTTTAATACCCTCGACGGAGGAGTAATCTCGATTCGTCGCTGAACCATCGCCGTCGAGGCCATACCCTGACTGTGTTGACGACACCAATGCAGTCGTTGTTGACGATGTTGTCAACTCAATATGACGCGTCGACCACGACGTTTTGCTCGTAGACCTGCTGCTCTTAAACGGTTTCGTTCGGTCTGGTCGGAGATTCTGTCCAGTTCAGGTATTTAGGAGGCGGTTGAGGTGGCTGTGGTCGTCTTTTCACGTAGGTGACGCAGTCGGATGTAGCGATCTTGGGCGGGGGTGGTTACTCTTGTCGTCCCGACCTTGGCCGATCACGTGCTGACCCATGCAGTTGAAACCGATCCCATCGCCTTGTGATGGTGCTGGGCGCTACATTGAAAACCCTGGCTACTGCTGATCGGGATCTCCCTGTATGCAATCGGCCTATGATATTGTTTCTTTGCACTTCTGTTAATCTTGGCATGTTGTGAATAGTCACTGTTCGATTGACGCAGATGTAAGGTAATAAAAAACCCTGCACTTTAAAGCCGTTCATAGTGCTGCTGCACGTGCAGTGCGTGCAGCTCCATGGTCCTTTTGTTAATGCACTGGGTGCGTTTTTTTCCGAATCGTGAGTATTTTCCGATTAATGGTTTGCATGTCCTTGTTGTGATGATTTTGATCCCGTACATTTGTCACTGACACTATAACACATTAAACCTCTTCATTTTGCACCTCTTGGTCCGCTAAGTATGCTTTTGTGGCCAGAAATGTCCGTATTGCTTATTTTTTTAAGTGAGTGAGTGAGTGAGTTGTGTTTTACGCCGCTTTTAACAGTATTCCAGTTATATCACGGCGTGTCAGCTTAATGTGGGAGGAAAGCCCGAAGTGATGCAGGTCTCAGACGTTTACCACTTCGGTGAAACCCACGAGCACGGGTATGGTGCTGACAAACCTAGAAACATAATCGGGGCGAACCGGGATTCGAACCCACAATCATAGGTTTCTGGCGTGCCCAAGGGACGCAACTCTGCACAGCGAATCGCGGCGCCTTAGACGACTGGGCCACCCGTGCCCCCCGTTTTTGTTGTTGTTTTGTTTTTGTTTTTTAAGAGTATATGTTCCATCGAAAGGCTGTGACTTCATGTTTGGGTGATTCTCCAAAATCTATTATGTTCAGGCATCAAATATGGGTATTTAAATCCGTTTTCTTGAAGTGTTTAATCGACCTCCTGTAATGTCACATTGTGAAGGCAGGGTACTGCTTCGATTGGTACGGGGACAGCCCTTTGCAACGAGTTTTATATCAAAATGAGATTTTAGTGTTCATGTGTGAGTGAGTTGGGTTGAACGTCGCTTTTAACAATATTCCAGTTATATCACGGCGTGTCAGCTTAATGTGGAAGGAAAGCCCGAAGTGATGCAGGTCTTAGACGTTTACCACTTCGGTGAAACCAACGAGCACGAGTATGGTGTTGAGAAACCTCAAAACATAATCGGGATTCGAACCCACAATCATAGGTTTCTGGCGTGCCAAAGGGACGCAACAGAGCGAATCGCGGCACCTTAGGGGGCTAGGCCACCCGTGCCTCCTAGTATTCATTAAGATAAACACTTCACACACATTCGCATATAGATTGGTATTGTCATAATGAGTACCTCTATGTTATGTATCTCTTCCTATGAAAACTAACTCCTACTATTACGTGGTCTCAGGAAGAGACCGCGTGACCAGGAAAATGTTGAAGGACCTGAAAGGGTAATCTGTTATAAGAAATAGAAACTTGTACATTAACAGTGAAACAGTAATCAGTTTCGACAATAAAGCATGTGAAAATACCCTGTGTACATCATAAATGAAACTATTCCTTTGTTTCATAAGACCATCGCAAATATTTTGCCCTGAAGATAGTAATCAATAAAGCGTAACACGGGGTGCATATGTCTTACAAGACATATCTTACAAGACAAATCACTTCTTATCAGTTAAAACTCGAATGCTTGTCGTGTTACCACTCAGGGGAAGTGAAGACATAGAATACAGTTCGATCCAACCACACACCTCTTTCATAATACCCTGCATAAAAGATTAACGATGACTGGGCACCAACACCACCATGTGTAGGCAGTAGATTGGTCAACAGCTTTAACATTGTTGGGAATAAATGCATATGCACAATCAGAAGGCTGATATCATGTTTCCAGGGCCCTTGTTGCTATTTCATGTGATCAAACAAGGCTTGTGTTGTGGAAACCAAACCCTATATAAGTGCAGGCGTTTCAGTGTTCTGCAAGAGGCATAACTTAACTGTCTGCTTCGGAACTTTTAAAAATGTATACACTGCTGGTTGCCGTTTTTCTGGGTAAGTATACATTAATCCTTATTACGATGTAGGAGATGGTATTTTATCTGTACATTTGCGCATATGAAGTAATATAACTGTTATACTGATTGACATTATTATAAAAATTGATACACGAGGTTTAACGTCGCGCCCAAGATCATTGCACTTATATAGCGACGTGCGTGCACGTGTGTGTGCTTGTACTAGTCCGCACTGATGCCGGTTTATGGTGCTAGCACACTGAGAAACCATGCCGCAGTGTATCATGAATACCTCACTCACACACAGTAGTCTGACTCTGAGCCGACCACTCCGTGTTTTACCCCCTTAAAGCCGAGCGCAAGACAGGGTAACAACATGTACCATCGTTTTACGTCTTTTGGTATGACGCGGACGGGGATCGAACCCTGGACCTTCCGCTCTCCGGGTGGACGCTCTTCCACTAGACCACGGAGGCGGTCGGGTCAAATATGTGGCCCTATTACAGACTCACGACTGTCTGAGTGTCTGAATAGGTTTTCTGTTCGTTTGTTGTTTAAGTCCGCACTCAGCAATACGCCAGCCGTATTATGGCGACATCTACATTATCGTGTCCTGGACAGACAAACCAGTATTTGTATCATGAGAAACGTCCCAACCGTTGAGGTACGATGCCACGAAATAAAGCATAACTGAGCCTGACCGCCCAATCCATTTGGATCACAGCGCAGTAGTTTCAGGAAACTTCGTTGTGGTACTCCTCCCTTATTATTAGTCGAGTTTTGTAAGTTTAGTCGTCCAAAGACGAATATGACAGAATATGTAAGCTTTGTAACACTAATACAATCGAGGATGAAACTCAATTTTTAATTAGATGCAATTTTATTCTGATCTTCTTCTTACATGCCCTTATGCGTAAACATGTTTCCCGCTGACCAGACTGTCTTTCTCACGCGGAGAGATTTGTTAAACCCCCTAGCCGCACTGGTATCACTAATTCTTAGACGTCGAAAAGACTCGCTGTATTGTAACGCACGTTTTTCCCTTTTCATGTATGCATACTGTTTGACATGACTCTGTAAAATTATCTGTGCCAACGCATGGTTTTAACTTTCAATTTTAATAATAGGTAGCATTGATTGCTGGTGACCACTTCTAATCCCAGCACTCGTAACGGGCGAATAAATTGGATGGGGTGGATGACTTGTTGTGTTGTCACTACCCGAGTTTGGATACAGCCAGAATAATGCCGACTTGACGTACAACAAGTAACATTATTTTGTAGTTTTATGTCACAGATTTCATATCTGTTTCCAGGTTTCTTTCCCATCGCCTTGTCAAAGACTTGCACTGAATGAAACACAACGTATAGCGCCACGACTAAAGGTGCCGACAACAATGCAAAATGCACGTGAGTCAATTTGTTTGTGCAGAAGGGTGTATACCCCAAGGCAAGCAGAGCTTTGTTGTCTGATATGTTAGGGGCGCTAGAGTTATTGATGGAGGAATGATGGTTTAGGTCAATTGTAAGATGCTTCATCGTTTAAGATTTCTTATGTGCACAGATATACTGTCGTTATGATCACAATATGAATGATACATTCATACAAAGAACCCAATACGTTAATTCAAGAATAACATGAAAGAAAGATCCCTAGGAGAAAAGAATTTTAATGAAACGAAAATGTAATTTTAATGTAACCGAACTGTGATGGGTAACGTGAGGAGTAATCCTGATCTGTTATAAACTTTACTTAACATGTTCTCATTATTAAGCATGAAGAGACCACCGTCATTTAGCTAGAATATTAATGAGTCAGGGGTTGAACAAACATTTCATTGGGTCCAACGCACATTCATTGAATTATTTGAACTCATATCTGGATAAAGGAGGAGTTGTTGTTTCTTCTGTTTTAGTGCCCTCAGCACCTACCTGACTTGTCTCGAGACCTCTGCTAAGGGTGAAGCTGGGTGTCCACTCCCAAGTGCTGACGCAGGCGCCATCGAGTCTAATTACACAGGCGCCACTTGCTGTAAGTTCCAAGACTTAAGAAATGAATGATCTGTGCCTTTAAGGGGGAACAGTACTGTTGGTTAATAAATGATGTTTCAATGTAAAACTGGAATTTTTGACTGGTGGCGGATCAACTATCAAGTGCGGTGGGGTGGCCTAGTGGTTAAAGCGATGGCTCGTCACAGGTTCGATTCCCCACATGGGTATAATACATTTTTTATTTGATAGTTTATTTCTGGTGTCGACCGTCGTGATTTCGCTCGTATATTACTTAGGTGATGTAAAACCACACACCCTCATTCTTTTCAAATAACATTTACATTAATAAACTGATATTTCCTTCATTGAACTAATAATTGATGAAGAACGTTCACTTTCGTATTGTCATTGCTACTCAGCCAGGAGTGAGTTAAAATTTAACGTCACATCGGCCATATTTTAAAGCCATATCGTGACGATTACGCAGCCAGGAAGACGTCGAGGGCGATTAGCTTGTCACGCCGTGGACGCTGGTTTTGAGTCCCCATATGGTTACAATGTGAAAAACTGTGTTCTGGCGGCCCTTGACATGGTTGATATTACTGGAACAATGAACTCATGCACTCTATCCTTTAAAGGGTAGGGAAAGCGTAATAGGATTTCCTCGGCCCGTAATTAATCGAATCTGGTCCAGACAATCCAGTGATCAACGTCCCACGCCGTCGTTGTACGGCGACTCACAATCTTCCTAATCACTGTGCGTGACAACCCGATCCACTTAGTTGTTTCTTAAGGTTGTCCCTTGTCTTAAGGTTGAATTATTCTAACCCGGGTGTCCCAACGGTAACCCCGAGGGATGTGGAACCATGATTCGAAATATATCTTAATGTGTAAGTAATAACAGATATAACAGATTATGTGAAGATATTAATACTTGTAGTTGTGTGTATAAGTGAGTGAATAGTAGTATAGCAGTTCTCTAAATAATCTAGACTTTCAAGTGACCAAAAATATGAGTAACCGTCCATTGTACAAGGTGACCAATTGAAACCACCCGATACTCTTACTACAAACATAACTGGTCGTAAGACGCGACCAAATGGATCAGGTGGTCAGACTCGGGTGACTTGGTTGCTTGCGTGGATCGTTGCTTAAAACACCAATCACTGGATTGTCTGGTCCACATTCGATTATTTACAAGCCGCCGTCACAGAGCTGGAAAATTTCCATGTGTGTTGTTACCCAACAAACAAAGAAATACAAACATGAAGTCCTGAAGAACAATTCTCCTTCGATATGGATTGAATATTTTGGAAAGGAAATTTACAGTGGATTAAATTTATATCGACTGCTCTGTTGCAGCGGGTTCGTTCACTGACACCTGTATCTGTCAGAAGACCTTCTGGAAGACTGCCCAGGCAGATGACGCTGCTACCTGCACGTGAGTATGCCAAATACATGTACACCTTCACCTCAAAGCATAACTGGTAAGGATGAGCCGCCATTACACAACTTTTTTATGTCAACTTCATCCACTGAAAGTGTGTCAAGTCTATATTCTGATTAAAGCACTTATTGTTATAAACATCTGCATGTTAATTTCATGTAAGTCGATGCGTCCTTGACATGACATGTGTTATACACCATGAGTCATGTTTGACATACGTTTTATTTTATTCATGGGCAGAATGAGTATTTTATTATTGTATCTTTGTTTGAAAATGGAATACAATTACCCGTTCCTAAAAAACAGGATACGTTCTTCAAGAAAACTGAGACAGACATCGGTAGATAGAACGCAGTTTCTTTCTAGTGACAGTTTGCGATTACATTTTGCCACATATGCCTACCATAAGTCAACTGTATTACTATGAATTGCAAGTGTGCACTCAAGATGATGATTTAGATTTTGATATGGAGGAAATAGCTGATACATTTCTGAGATAATACGTCACATATCAAGCTATGGTAAGATTATTTGATGTTATGTAACAGTCGCGTATCTGGCAACTGAATGAAACCTACACAAACACAGGAGCTTAACTATGCTTGAATTATATCAGATCGTATCATCACAGAATGTATATTAATACTTTGGAAATGTTTCAGCTGCATTTGACATAGGAGCCACATAGAGACGATTTTTGATCCTCTTCAGTTCGTTCGTGATACATAGAGCAAATGTCAATATATGATATCCATGGGTGGCCCAGTGATATGAGGGGTCTGAAATCGATTTACGGCTAGGAGCTGCTGGTTGTGGGTCGGATCGTGACCCTTGATCTTTCGGCACAATGTACTTTTATCCCAGGATCATCAACGTCTACGAATTTCGTCACTTTAAACCTTCCGCTGACATGTCGTGATATTCTAACTGAAATAGCGTTCAAATATTGCTGAACCTCAAGCTACTCACTTCTATGTGTACGTTACTGTAGTTTAGTGATTGTGTTTGGATTGTTAATGTCGCTTGAGTAGTAATTTAGTTGTGCTTTTGAGTGCCAAATTATTATTGGGGGAATCACAAAGAAACGTAGGTCGTAGACGTTTACCCCGTTTGTTGAACCTACCAACATTGGTATGTTTCTGTCAAATGACTTAAGGACTAATGGCCACAACTATGAACAACAAATTATGGCTTTAGACTACTGAGACACCAGAGCCCTCAACTGTACTTTACCCTTGTCCACAGGGAAGCCAGGAAGTACCTGACTTGTCTGAAGGGGAAGACTGATAAGGCTTGTGACGGCACGTCCACTGTTGCTACTCTGACTGCTGGTGTGGAGACAAGGATGAAGGCTCTCACGGGATGCAGTATGTACCTTTCATTGTATACTCACCATGGATAGGAGAATCACATTTGAAAGCACACGGATAGTCTATTATAATATATATGTAATAATACGTTTAAAATCAAAATGTTGAATTAAATGGAAACTATTTTAGTGTGTTTATGTCACCTCCACAATGCCTGCGTCCATGTGTACCGATTGTTCTGGACTGACCTGTGTGGATCTTAAGCCAGAGGCATTAAACCGGTCACACTTTCAAATCCCTTAGCATGATCACAAATCACTTCGCCAATTCCGATCTCACACACACAGTCAAGCTCTCTACCACTCGGCTGAAGGTGTTACCCACTGGGGTTATGTAATTAAAGTATCGACATTAATGACGCTCCATGTACACTCCATCGACCTAGATAACGTCAACGATTGGTCGTAGTGGTCTGAATGTGTTATGATCAAACACGCCATGTTGCAAGGTGAGAGAGGGGCCTGATAGCATGTAGCATGCTCAAACACGTCATGTTGTAAGATGTGGGAGAAACCAGGGTGCCGTTGTACAAAGAAGTCTTGGCGCTAAAGTGATCGTAACTCCCATACCTTAACATAGACTTACAACAGTCGTACCGCTAAGGTTGTTTTGTACAACGACACCCTGGTAGCATATTATGTTGCAACAATCTGCGACACTTACCTTTTTATGCAATTTGTGTTACCTGTAGGACAGGACATGCATACCCATTTCGCAAACAGCCGGTGTAATCACTGATTATCAGTGATCCATGCATATAATTTTCACCCACATTTTGCCTTTTACGCCTGTTTCTGTGGATTATCGAGATTGGTTATTGTCTGGCGTTGTCTCGACGTTATATTTTATTGTGATCCCAGTGGTCTTTCATTGTGTTCGACCGAACCACCATGTTCTGTGACGTATTTCTTATCGACCGTCTTGCCCCTTTAGCTATGTTTCTGAACGTATGATCCCCACAGTGCACAGGCATGGAAATTCTCTGTACAGAGTTGCGTCCCTCAATTGAGTCAGGATCCGCTAGTCGATGTCCCGGATTAAAATCCCTGGTTTGTCAACACCATATCATCCATGCTCGGGTTCCTCAACAAACTGGAAAAGATCTTTAACCTCCTCTGCTCTCCTTCGACATTCGGCTTGAAGTCTTGATTTAAGTGAAATAATATGAAATACAACCGCGTTAAACCTAACTCACTTAAACTTTGTATATTTCAGCTATCAGCCCTACCTGCCAGTGTGAGATTATCGCCATGAAGGCAGACATGTCCACCGAGGTCAAGAAATGCACGTGTGTATAATTCAGTTCAATTGTAGTGCCAAAAGCAACACGATCACTCCGAATATCTTTTCCCAGTCTCTCCTGTGATATGCATGGCTATGAGACCAAATACTGCTCGTAAGGCCCTGCTTCATAAAACCGTAATTATGCAATTACCAAGTATAATATAGGAGCTAATAATATTTAAACTTGGTGTAAAGATTTGGACAAAAAGACCTTCCCTACGAGGTCCAGTGTTCTTTTTTCAAATACTCTTTATAAGGTGTCTATAATTCGAATCACATACTAGTAAGGTCACATTACATTACATTACATTATTTTTGTATGTGGTATGTGGTATGTGGTTCATTTTACTCTCTCCTCAAACGGTTCATTTTTTGTGTTTTCGTATTTGAGATGGTTGGTATTGGTGGAGATTGGTGGTGGCTCAAATGACAAATGAGATAACCAGTTTATGAGCAAATCTCTATGTTGTGGTTCGGTGTCATTCCGTGAGAGATAACGAATGTCGTCTCCGTGTTACAGCGTCCTAAAGACCATGGAAACCTGCCTGTCCGCCATCAAAACCACCGCCGAGGCCGGATGCACCAGCACCACTCAGGCCACCCTGCTCACCAGCACAACGGAAATGTACAAGAAAGAAAAATGTAAGTGTTCTCTTGGACCTTTATGTCATCATTGGGACATCACTGGGACATGGGGCGGTCGGGTAGCCTAGTGGTTAAAGCGTTGGCTCGTCACGCCGAAGACCCGGGTTCGATTCCTGACATGGGTACAATGTGTGAAGCCCATTTCTGGTGTCCCCCGCCGTGATATTGCTGGAATATTGCTAAAAGCGGCGTATAACCATACTCACTCACTCACTCACTCACTCACTCACTGGGGCATGCTGTGTTTTGCTTGCCATAACTATCTGCAACTCCCAGTCAGATGATGATCTAAACAAAATGTGGACATTCCATTTGCAGGTGCAAGTGCTGGTGCTGGTGCTGATCACGTGACTTTTGTGGTGACGCCCCTGTTGGTCTCGGTGTTGGCCAGCATCTTTCTGTAAAAGCCTCAACCGGTCGTGTATTAAGTCGACAATTTCTCTTCTTTGTTCCTTCTTCGTCAGTTGCTCTTCAGAATTGCTAAAAGGTCATTACAAAGAGCATCTATGATATAAATCCATCCTTATATTGAATACAGTTTTCTATGCTATTTCTACTCTATCAATCCTTTAATCGTATGGTAAATCGGGTTGTTTTATGCAAGCATCATATCAATACATGATAGTATGTGGTAAGTATACAGTTAGTACGTAATACTATGACATTGTCTAGTTCGTTATGTGGTCGTGGCTTATGACGTATACAGCGCTCTGTCGTTTGTCACTGACCGCATCAAGTTGACCACATAAATATATTCTAATGCATTCTGATATTAACGTTGTAGAAATAATATTCCAAAATTGAATTCAGCTCCAATTCAAAGACAGCTCAACTAACGTTCAGTTAACTAACAGTTTTATTCAGATTCTTTAAACATTTCGTGACGTTTGTTCTTTTTTTTTACTGAAAGACTTTGCACCCGTTGAACATATCATTCACACCTATGATATACTGAAACGCTACAACATAATTAAGAGACAATGATACAATTACCCTGTGGATTTCACGCTTTGGAATCATCTATTGTATATTATTTGACAAGACCTTTTGAGCTGTGTGTTTGTTCTCAGTCACGTGTGACGCCATCCAAGAGAAAACACAATTGCTGCAATACATGACGTTAATATTTGCCATCGTTGTCTGTCAATATTTGCTGAACATTCTCCACAAGCATTATGTTTCTTGACTTATAAAACTACTCGGTGACATATCGTTTCAGAACTGTCTTGATGTTTGTATATTTCAACCCACGTGGTCCGTACCCTGATGACGTGTTGAGTTACTGATTGCAAATCAGTTGTTTCACTGAAATAAACGGCACTGATCACGAAAAAATGTTTGTGGTTTTGTTCATTATTCAAACTTAAATGTTTATTCAATTAACACCAGGTCAACCGAAAAGGGTATACAGGGAAACCTTATTACGACCAAAGTACCGTTGCAGATACTAGAACCGAAAGGATAAGTACACTTGTCTTAAACGATATCGAGTTAACTGAGTTCCAAATAGGAAGGATTCGCCCTACAGTAGCATGATGTGTGCGGACAATATGCCATTTCTGTAACATAAATATAGCGAGCGTTTGAATGTTGATTTATACCACACACGGCAACATTTCAGCAATATAAAGATGGTCTGTAAAAAACGATGATGGGCCAGGCAAACCAGTGGTTGATAGCGTGGGCACCGATCCGTGCCGTCGGAGTGCGAGGACTCACTTCAGCCAGGTCACACATTGAAACGACCTCGTTTTGTCGACACAAGTCTATTGAATAGAGTGGAAGATCGGTGGTTCGCACGCACTCACACTCAGACTCACATTCACACACACACACTCGCGTGCAAGCACGTTGCTATGTAAATGAAATAGTCTTGTACACAACGTTAAACCTCATACACCTCATTCAGTCGCCTCTCACAACAAGCATTGGGTTCTGTCCTGGAACCCTACAGTTAAACAAGAATATAGGTGAGACTTCATTATTATTGTCACCGCGACCGATTCAGGGTAACCATTGTCCGAATGAATAATTTATTTAATTCCAAAGTCTAATTACTATGTAGCCATGACATGTATATGTCTCCAGCACTTAATTTCCATCAGGCGACTTTAGCTATATACACCTTCGTCCACCACCATCACCACTACTAGGTGGTGCGATATCACATAGTGATTCTTGTATAAATTACTACTTGTATAAAGCAATATCGTATATGTACCGCAAGCTGTCGGCCCGATGTTGTCACTTCGATGTTCAAATATCTAAGCAACTCTGCTAAGATTACCCCCTTCACGATTTTGTTTCGGCACAAGTCCAAACAAGTACGCTTGCCTACCACTCAGAGATCCGACCACAGCCATCATCGTCCAGACCCTGCACCCACACAGAAACCGCCTCAACTGTACCAACAAGGTGGACACTGGGTACAAGATAGCTCCTTGGGACACTAATTGGATGGTTGAAGGTGGATGGTTGAAGGTAGATGTTGATGTTGATGTTGGATGGTTGATGTTGGATGGCTGATGATGGCTGTTTGATGTTTGAAAGTTGATTGTAAAAGTGGATGGTAGAAAATGAAGGTGGATGGTTGATGTTGGATGGTTGGAGGTAGATGGTTAATGTTTGATGGTTGATGTTGGATGGTTGATGTTAGATGTTGGATGTTGGATGGTTGGAGGTGGATGGTTGATGGTTGAAAGTGGATGTTAAATGGTTGATGTTGGATGATTGATGTTGGATGATTGATGTTTGAGTGAGTATGGGGCTGACTAATGGCTAGTGCAACATTCGAATTAAAGACCACGTGCATAATATACAACGTCAACGACAGAGAGTAATCAGTTTCTATTATCTGCCCAAACAGACTCCATTGGGCATAAAAGGCAAAATAGATTTGAAAATAAAATCGATCACTGAAAATCAGCGATGACGCCAGGTGTTCTCGAAAAAGGTAAGCATGCCATGCCCGACCGGTAGCACCCCATTTCATTTCCAAACAATAAAGGTAAGCTATAAACCTTTCCTCGCATGCCAATCAAGATGCTGTGTGAATCAATCATTCCGTCAGAATTCAAGTTCCTTTCTAGCCTTTGTAGATTATATATTTGGACAATGTGACTTATGGGGGTAAAAAAAAATTGGAAATACATGCACTGTCAATTTGTTCAAAGTGTGTTTTTAAGTTTTGGATTAACATATTACTTTTAAAAAGAAAGGAGATACTCGGATTAACTTTAAAATACCTATAATGTAAGCGATATTAGTTTCTAGCGATAGTATTATGATAATAATGAACGAATTTGGAACACATTTCAACCGGTAGTGAAATGACCACCAACAATCTTGACGGACGGTAGCAGTAAGATGGAAAATTTAAAGTTGACGTTTCTGGATCAGTAGTGCGTAATATTGCCACGATTTGTCAAAGTTGACGAGACATATTGCGTATTGCAAACAGGACAACAAAGGGTGTCAGTATATTGTCCCTATCTTACTGTCTTGGGGCCCTTCGTTGCACAAGGTTCGGTCAGTCTTAGTGATGCCATCCCACACCCTAACTGATCCACCGCCAAATATGTCATGATGTCTCAGGTTGACATTATTTGATATTCATTTCGACGTCGCCAGACACCTCTACATCTTTCAAGAAAGTGCAAAGTTAATCCTAACCAGCGACGGTTACCCAAGTTTCGACTTTGTGTGCACCATTGACGTCTAGTGGCAACATGACGATTTGTAAGGGGCGGCAAAACACGTGGCCGTCGAGCACGGAGATGAGATGCATGTGAACGCGAGTTTTAATCTTCTAATCTAACTCGTACTCCAGAAGACGAAAGTTTGCAGCAATTTGATTTGCCGTTTCCCCACAGCCACTATTCCAGAGAAAATTAACGTACACGTGATTATTAAAGAAAGAACGGGTATTTACCTTTCCTGAAATGTTGTACAACCCTATTACAATACTAACGTAAAACACTAACAGTACTTCATATAAAGTGGTGTAAATGTTGTGTTATTGAAAATAGCAACATAATATTTGGTCCGTCGTCTGATCAATGTTTTATCATAACACTCACATGCATTGACAAACCCCATACCGTGTAAAAGGAGACAGAGCGACACGCTCTAAAAGCGATGTGGAGTATCAACATGTCTTTATCCGATATGACCACTATTTGCGAAATATAGGCGAGGCAGAGGCAGCGCATTGAAGGCACCAGATAATTGACACCAGCCTGAGAAATGTTTTTCCAAATATCAACTAAAGATTGGCCCAAATGACCTTGCTCTACCGGCTCTTTCTTGTTCATCTCATCCAAGACATTCTATGCGGAAGAGGTTTGGAGAAACAGTCCTTCATTGCAGAACATCAATGTTATGCTGCCTTAAAAAGTCTGTTATAACAGGTGCGACATGTGGGCGGGCATGATCATGCTGCAATGTGACGTTACGTCCCTGCATTTGCACACAGGGTAGAACATGATCTCGAAAGATATCGTCCCGGTAGCGTACGTCATTCAAATTGCCGTCAACAATGATGAGTTGTGATGCCAACCCATACAACTTCCACCCCAAAACTGACGACGTTGAGTAACACAAGTTTCGCTAAAATGTTCTCCTGGACCACCAACTGGTAGTGGAGTCATGCTATTATTTGATGGGACATGAAGGTACTAGAAGACATGTGATAGGATGAAAATCCATATTATTCATTGATGATGTTACACATGACACATCACTGCACTCTCAAAAGAGAATGACGGGGACATAGGTAAACCTGGAAATTAACAGACCTTGACAGTATGAATGTAACACTTTACGGAGGGCAGTAATCCTTGAAGTATCTGTCCTCATGCAATCTGATGATATAACTGAGATGTTGGTTGGTAGTGTTATAAGGTTAAAAATGCACCTCACAAACGAATGATGATAAATAGAACCCATTAGATATAGTTCGTGACAGAACTTGTAACTGGAAAGGAATCAATAGAGAAAGACATTTCACATTTATCATTGGATTGGTCTTTGGCTATTATCCATGAGTTAATGAAACAAATGGGTAATTACAAGGTATAAGCCATTTGGAGCTTCGGAGAGAGTCACGAAATCAATAGAGAGATGAGCAATCTGGCATGTAGGTTTTTGGTATTTTTCCGATTGCGACACACATGAGTTCATGGTCAGATATAAACTTGTAACGAATCAAATGGAGGTATTGAGACATGTGACAAGGACAGGTCAGGCTCGAACACTATAAAATGATACCCTCAACATTAGGAGAGTGGTGCGCGGTTTGCAGTCGATCGAGTCGAATCCCGATCGTTCTAAGTTTCCACCAGCTAGTGACGAGCCTGGCCAGTCTGATCCTGTCCTGTATTGTTAGATGGGCTGAGAGTAAGTAAAACTATGTGAGTATAAAACTGGTGTTGCGTTTCTTTATTATGCGTGTGTGAATGCTGCTAGAGACAACTTGGAGTAAGGGTCGTTAGACCAATCACTCCTTGACGGAACCGAGCCGTGGTGGACAAGGCGAGGGCAATGTCCTGGCTTAATTGACCACAAGGACCAGGAACGGCAATACACTTAGAAACTGTAGCAGGGTCGCACTGGACCCTCAAAACCAGTTACGACATGGTGGAGTATGCGGGTTTTCTCTTGAACAAAATGTTTAAGACGATCCCATTCTTTGTTTTTCCTATTGTCGTTCCGTGAGTAAAGTCCATGTGTCGGACTTCCCTTCTACCGAGGACACCTTTCTCCGCCCCTCATCCCCTCATCCCCTCCCCGCCCGCATCCGCTCCGCTCTTACAGAGATTACGGACGTCCATATGGCAATCGATACTCTGAGCGAACAGTTGGCTATCCTTTTGGCGACACTTGTTTTTTCGCCGTCCGAGATCAATAATTTTCACGAGAGTCAGAATCAGTATCCCCAATCCCTCGGACCATATCCTCCCTACCTAACTCGGCCGTGTAAACAGACAGGACAAGAGTTTCAGCACCAGCAGGACCAACAGCATCTTTGACGACGGCAACCAACTTCGAAAGGGGCTAACCTCACCAGTGGTGGTAAGTATGTTTTTCTTTTACTCTGATAGGTGTCCCTCGTGTAATGCAAAATCTCATTTTTGTCCGACAATTTGACATGTCACAGGAGTATGTAGAGCTCGGTGTCACTCAGGTCCCCCACCCAGCCATAGACAATTATAGTCACAACTCTTCAGGCAACTTTCCGACCGTGCTGAGCAAACCATACTTATTGACTTTTGACCATACTTATTTGCCGTCACGTGACCCACCGGTTTCTTATTCTCGATGCTTTGGCAGCCTTA